GAGTTAGGTGTCTTGTGTCCAAATTTGGTGTCAATTCCCCCAGTGGTTTTTGAGTTCTGATGGTATCACAAATGAACATTACATTTTTATTTATATAGATTATATAATAAACTAGCTGTACCCGCCACGCGTTGCTGTGGCCAACCTTCCCCCTATCTCCCCTTCTTTCCCTCCTTCCTTCACTCCCTGTATCCTTCCTTCCTTCCCGTCTTTCCTTCTCTCCTTCCTTCCTTCTCTATCGCTTTCCGTCCTTCCCCCTTTTTCTTTCTCTTCTGCTGTGTCTCTTTTCTTCCTTCTCTCTTTCCTCCTTTCCTTCCCTCCCTCTTTCTCTATATTTTATCCCCTTCCTTCGCTCCCTCTTTCCTTCCTTCTGTCCCTTTTTTCTTTCCTTCTCTCCTTCCTTCTTTCTCTAACTTTCCTTCCTCCCCCTTTTTCTTTCCCTCCCTCTTTCTCTCCTTTCTTCCTTTTCTACCTCATTCCTTCCTTCTTGCTTTCCCTCCCTCTTTCTCTCCTTTCTTCCTTTTCTACCTCATTCCTTCCTTCCTTCTTTCTTTCCCTCCCTCTTTCTCTCCTGTCAGGGGTGATTTGAATGCAATATTCCTACTTCTTGGCAGAATGGGGTTGGACTGGATGGCCCATGAGGTCTCTTCCAACTCTTTGATTCTATGATTCTATGCTTCTTCCTTGACAGATTAGAAGGGGGCGTGGCTTGGAGGTAACATGAGAAGGGTAGAGGGAGGGGGGGAGGGGGGATGGGTTTAGAAGGGGGCGTGGCTTGGAGGTAACGTGAGGAGGGAGGAGGGGAGGGGGATGGGTTTAGAAGGGGGCGTGGCTTGGGGGTAAGGTGAGGAGGGAGGAGGGGAGGGGGATGGGTTTAGAAGGGGCGTGGCTTGGGGTAAGGTGAGGAGGGAGGAGGGGAGGGGGGAGGGGTTTAGAAGGGGGCGTGGCTTGGAGGTAAGGTGAGGAGGGAGGGGGATGGGTTAGAAGGGGGCGTGGCTTGGAGGTAAGGTGAGGAGGGAGGGAGGAGGGAGGGGGGATGGGTTTAGAAGGGGGCGCGGCTTGGAGGTAAGGTGAGGAGGGAGGAGGGGAGGGGGGATGGGTTTAGAAGGGGGCGCGGCTTGGAGGTAAAGTGAGGAGGGTAGAGAGAGGGCGGATGGGTTTAGAAGGGGGCGTGGCTTGGAGGTAACGTGAGGAGGGGAGGGGGAGGGTTTAGAAGGGGGCGTGGCTTGGGGGTAAGGGAGGGGGGATGGGTTTAGAAGGGGCGTGGCTTGGAGGTAACGGGGAGGGAGGAGGGAGGGGGAGGGGTTTAGAAGGGGGCGTGGCTTGGGGGTAATGTGAGGAGGGGAGGGGGGATGGGTTTAGAAGGGGGCGTGGCTTGGAGGTAACGTGAGGAGGGAGGGGGGATGGGTTTAGAAGGGGCGTGACGTGAGAAGGGTAGAGGGAGGGGGGGAGGGGGGATGGGTTTAGAAGGGGGCGTGGCTTGGAGGTAACGTGAGGAGGGAGGGGGGATGGGTTTAGAAGGGGCGTGGCTTGGGGGTAAGGTGGGAGGAGGGGAGGGGGGATGGGTTTAGAAGGGGCGTGGCTTGGGGGTAAGGTGAGGAGGGGAGGGGGGATGGGTTTAGAAGGGGGCGTGGCTTGGAGGTAACGTGAGGAGGGGGGAGGGGAGGGGGGATGGGGGCGCGCGCGCGCGTGTGTGCCGCGCGGGGGGGAGAGGGGGCGCACACGCGCGCGTGTGTGCCGCGCCAGGGGAGTGAGGGGGCGCGCGGGCGCGCGTGCGTGCGTGTGCCGCACCGGAGGGGGGAGAGGGGGGGGCGCGCGCACGCGCGTGTGCCGCGCCGGGGTGTGGGAGGGGGACGCGCGCGCGTGTGTGTGCATGTGTGTGTATGCCGCGCCGGAGGGGGGAGAGGGGGCGCGTGCGCACGTGTGTGTGCATGTGTGTGTGCCGCGCCGGAGGGGGGAGAGGGGGCGCGTGCGCGCGCGTGTGTGCCGCGCCGGGGGGGGGGGGGGTGCGCGCGCGTGTGTGCCACGCCGGGGGGGAGGAGGGGGCACGCGTGTGTGTGTGTGTGCCGCGCCGGGGGGTGTGAGGGACGCGCGCGCGTGTGTGTGCATGTGTGTGTGTGCCGCGCCGGGGGGTGTGAGGGGGCGCGTGCGCGCATGTGTGTGCATGTGTGTGTGTGCCGCGCCGGGGGGTGTGAGGGGGCACGCGCGTGCGTGTGTGTGCATGTGTGTGTGTGCCGCGGCGGGGGGGTGTGAGGGGGCACGCGCGTGTGTGTGCATGTGTGTGTGTGCCGCGCCGGGGGGTGGGAGGGGGCGCGTGCGCGCGTGTGTGTGCATGTGTGTGTGTGCCGCGCCGGGGGGTGTGAGGGGGCGCGCGCGCGCGTGTGTGTGCATGTGTGTGTGTGCCGCGCCGGAGGGGGGAGAGGGGGCGCGCGCGCGCGTGTGTGTGCATGTGTGTGTGTGCCGCGCCGGGGGGTGTGAGGGGGCACGCGCGCGCGTGTGTGTGCATGTGTGTGTGTGCCGCGCCGGGGGGTGTGAGGGGGCGCGCGCGCGCGTGTGTGTGCATGTGTGTGTGTGCCGCGCCGGGGGGGGGAGAGGGGGCGCGTGCGCGCGGTGTGTGTGTGCCGCGCCGGGGGGGGTGAGGGGGCGCGCGCGCGCGTGTGTGTGCATGTGTGTGTGTGCCGCGCCGGAGGGGGGAGAGGGGGCGCGTGCGCGCGCGTGTGTGCCGCGCCGGGTGGGGTGGGGGGTGTGCGCGCGTGTGTGCCGCGCCGGGTGGGAGAGGGGGCACGCGTGTGTGTTTGTGTGCCGCGCCGGGGGGGGGGGGAGGGGCCGTGCGCGTGCCTGTGTGTGTGCCGCGCCGGGGGGGAGGGTGTGGGGCCATGTGTGTCCGCGCCAGGGAGTTTGCGCCAGTGCGCATGCTCAGTTGCTTTGTCGTTTATTGTGGTTGTTGTTGTGTGTTTTTGATTTCTGAGTGGATTAGTTTGTACCTTGTTGGTTGCCCTTGGGGCATGGGAAGTTTGGTGGCGTTTCGTTGGGGGGTTTTTGAGTTTTGTTCCGCCATACGACGCCAGGAGGAAATTTATATATATAGATATATATATATATATATATATATATACAGTGGGTTAAAGCGCTGAGCTGCTGAGTTTGTTGACCGAAAAGTCGCAGGTTCGAATCCGGGGAGCGGTGTGAGCTTCTGCTGTCAGCCCCAGCTTCTGCCAACCTAGCAGTTCGAAAAATGCAAATGTGAGTAGATCAATAGGTACCGCTCCAGCGGGAAGGTAACGGCACTCCATACAGTCATGCCGGCCACATGACCTTGGAGGTGTCTACGGACAACGCTGGCTCTTCGGCTTAGAAATGGAGATGAGCACCAGAGGAAGGATGGAGCGTACCTGGATTTCAGGAAGGCCTTCTTTGACAAGGTCCCCCACGACCTTCTGGCAAGGAAACTAGTCCAATGTGGGCGAGGCAAAACTACGGTGAGGTGGATCTGGAATTGGTTAAATGGACGAACCCAGAGGGTGATTCTCCCCAAGGCTTCCTCTTCATCTTGGAAAGAAGTGATGAGTGGAGTGCCATCAGCAGGCTTCCGTCCTGGGCCCGGTCCTGCTCAGGATCTTTATTGATGACTTAGATGAAGGCTTAGAAGGCAGGATCATCAAGTTTGCAGATGACACCAAATTGGGAGGGATAGCCAATACTCCAGAGGACAGGAGCAGGATTCAAAACGATCTTGACAGATTAGAGAGATGGGCCAAAACTAACAAAATGAAGTTCAACAGTGACAAATGCAAGATACTCCACTTTGGCAGAAAAAACGAAATGCAAAGATACAGAATGGGGGACGAGGCCTGGCTCGAGAGCAGGACGTGTGAAAAAGATCTTGGAGTCCTCGTGGAGAGGAAGGTAAACATGAGCCAGGAATGTGATGTGGCGGCAAAAAAAGCCAATGGGATTTTGGCCTGCATCAAGAGGAGCATAGTGTCTAGATCTAGGGAAGTCATGCTCCCCATGCTCTATTCTGCTTTGGTTAGACCACACCTGGAATATTGTGTCCAATTCTGGGCACCACAATTCAAGAGAGATATTGACAAGCTGGAATGTGTCCAGAGGAGGGCAACTAAAATGATCAGGGGTCTGGAGAACAAGCCCTATGAGGAGCGGCTTAAGGAACTGGGCATGTTTAGCCTGAAGAAGAGAAGGCTGAGAGGAGACATGATAGCCATGTCTAAATATGTGAGAGGAAGCCACAGGGAGGAGGAGGGAGCAAGCTTGTTTTCTGCTTCCTTGGAGACTAGGACGCAGGAACAATGGCTTCAAACTACAAGAGAGGAGATTCCATCTGAACATGAGGAAGAACTTCCTGACTGTGAGAGCCGTTCAGCAGTGTAACTCTCTGCCCCGGAGTGTGGTGGAGGCTCCTTCTTTGGAAGCTTTTAAACAGAGGCTGGATGGCCATCTGTCAGGGGTGATTTGAATGCAATATTCCTGCTTCTTGGCAGAATGGGGTTGGACTGGAATGGCCCATGAGGTCTCTTCCAACTCTAGGATTCTATTATTATTATTATTATTATTATTACTATTAATCAGATTCCGAAACTACCATATATGTGCAATTCACTTTTTGGCAGAATGGGGTTGGACTGGATGGCCCAGGAGGTCTCTTCCAACTCTAGGATTCTATTATTATTATTATTACTATTACTATTAAGCAGAGGCTGGATGGCCATCTGTCGGGGGTGCTTTGAATGCAATATTCCTGCTTCTTGGCAGAATGGGGTTGGACTGGATGATGGCCCAGGAGGTCTCTTCCAACTCTTGGATTCTAGGATTCTATGAATGGGGCCGGGGCTGCCCGGACAAGTGCCTGTGCAGAGCGGAATCAGGCGCTGCAGCGGGCAGCCCTGGAGTAGGGGTCCTGGCAGCAGCCATGGTGACCTTCAGGGCCCTTCCTCCTTCCTCGCGGGAGAGACTTCCTTCCGGCGGCGCTCAGGCAGGGCCTTCCCTCCGTTGTCTCCCGGCTCCCTCCCTCGCTCCTTCCTCGGCCGGAGAATGGCGCAGGCCGCGCAGAAGCTGGTCAAGACCGTCACCACCCGCGGCCCGCAGCTCCTCTCCGGTGAATGGCTCGCTTTCGCCCCCAAAGGTTTCAGCAGAGGCTGGGTGGGCCTCTGCCGGGAGGGATCGAATGGTGTCTGTGGCAGAAGGAGGTCGGAGTAGATCGCCCTTGGGGATCCTCTCCAAACAAGGCATAAAATATATAGTAATATAATGCATTTTTTATATATATATAATATTTAGTTATTTATAATATATGTATTGTCGAATATTATATATATATAAGTTATATATATATATATATATATGTCATACATAAATATTTATTTATTTATAATATTTGTATTGTCGAATATTTAAATCTTCGACAATACAAATATATATACGACAAGGCATAAAATATATAGTACTATAATATATTTTGTATACACAATATAATAATATAATATGTTGTGAATGAATATATATATATATATATACACACAAGATATAAAATATAAAGTAATATTATATATATATATCATACACAAATTTTTATTTATTTACAATATATACACAATATAATAATATGTTATGAATGAATATATACACACAAGATATAAAATATAAAGTAATATGTTATATATATATGTGTGTGTGTGTGTGTGTCATACATAAATATTTATATTTGTATTGTCGAATATTTAAATATTCGACAATACAAATATATATACGACAAGGCATAAAATATATAGTACTATAATATATTTTGTATACACAATATAATAATACGTTGTGAAGGAATATATATATGTATATATATATACACACACAGGATATAAAATATAAAGTCATATATATAATATATATATACGACAAGGTATAAAATATATAGTACTATAATATATTTTGTATACACAATATAATAATATAATATGTTGTGAATGAATATATATATATATACATACACACAATATATATAATACAAAGTAATATGTTATTATATATATATATATGTGTGTGTCATAAATAAATATTTATATATTTAGTTATAATATTTGTATTGTTGAATCTTTAAATATTCGACAATACAAATATTATATATACGACAAGGCATAAAATATATAGTACTATAATTTTGTATACACAATATAATAATATGTTGTGAAGGAATATATATATGTATATATATATACACACACAGGATATAAAATATAAAGTCATATATTATATATAATATATATATATACGACAAGGTATAAAATATATAGTACTATAATATATTTTGTATACACAATATAATATAATATGTTGTGAATGAATATATATATATATATACATACACACAATATATATAATACAAAGTAATATGTTATTATATATATATGTGTGTGTGTCATAAATAAATATTTATATATTTAGTTATAATATTTGTATTGTTGAATATTTAAATATTCGACAATACAAATATTATATATACGACAAGGCATAAAATATATAGTACTATAATATATTTTGTATACACAATATAATAATATGTTGTGAAGGAATATATATATGTATATATATATACACACACAGGATATAAAATATAAAGTCATATATAATATATATATATACGACAAGGTGTAAAATATATAGTACTATAATATATTTTGTATACACAATATAATAATATAATATGTTGTGAATGAATTACACACACAAGATATAAAACATAAAGTAATATGTTATATATGTGTGTGTGTCTCATACATAAATATTTATTTATTTATAATATTTGTATTGTCAAATATTTAAATATTCGACAATACAAATATTATATAAACGACAAAGCATAAAATATATAGTACTATAATATATTTTGTATACACAATATAATAATATGTTGTGAATGAATATATATATATATACACACACAAGATATAAAATATAAAGTAATATGTTATATATATGTGTGTGTGTGTGTCATACATAAATATTTATTTATAATATTTGTATTGTCGAATATTTAAATATTCGACAATACAAATATATATATGACAAGGTATAAAATATATAGTACTATAATATATTTTATATACACAATGTAATAATATAATATTTTGTGAATGAATGAATATATATGCACACAAAATATAAAATATAAAGTAATATGTTATATATATGTGTCATACATAAATATTTATTTATAATATTTGTATTGTCGAATATTTAAATATTCGACAATACAAATATTATATATATTACAAGGCATAAAATATATAGTACTATAATATATTTTGTATACACAATATAATATAATATTTTGTGAAAGAATGAATATATATACACACAAGATATAAAATATAAAGGAATATGTTATTTATATGTGTCATACATAAATATTTATTTATAATATTTGTATTGTCGAATATTTAAATATTCGACAATACAAATATATAAATGACAAGGCATAAAATATATAGTACTATAATATATTTTGTATACACAATATAATAATATAATATGATGTGAATGAATATATATATATACATACACAAAAGTAATGTTTTATATATATATATATATATGTCACAAATATTTAGTTATTTACAATATTTGTATTCTCGAATATTTAAATATTCAACAATACAAATATATATACGACAAGGCATAAAATATATAGTACTATAATATATTTTATATACACAATATAATAATATAATATGTTGTGAATGAATATATATATACACACAAGATATAAAATATAAAGTAATATAATATATATATGTGTGTGTGATACATAAATACATATATATATGACAAGGTATAAAATATATAGTACTATATTTAATATATATACAATATATATCATATAATATAGGAATTTATTATATATACTAAATAATAATAATCATCATCATCATCATCATTATTATAACTAGCCGTCCCCTGCCTCACCTTACTATGGCCCACATGGGTGTTCTGTGTGGGAGGTTTGGCCCAATTCTATCGTTGGTGGGGTTCAGAATGCTCTTTGATTGCAGGTGAACTTCAAATCCCAGCAACTACAACTCCCAAATATCAAGATTCTATTTCCCCCAAACTCCACCAATGTTCACATTTGGGCATATTGAGTATTTGTGTAGAGTTTGATCCAGATTCATCATTGTTTGAGTCCACAGTGATCTCGATGTAGGTGAACTACAACTCCAAAACCAAAGGACACTGCCCACCAAACCCTACCAGTATTTCCTTTTGGTCTTTGAAGAACTGTGTGCCAAGTTTGGCCCAATTCCATCATTGGTAGGGTTCGGAATGCTCTTGGATTGTAGGTGAACTATAAATCCCAGCAACTACAACTTCCAAATAACAAAATAATTTTTTTTTTTAGTGAAGGACATACATTGGGTTGTTAGGTGTCTTGTGTCCAATTTTGGTGTCAATTCGTCCAGTGGTTTTTGAGTTCTGTTAATCCCATAAACGAACATTACATTTTTATTTATATAGATTTATTATATACAATAAATTATAATAATATTTATTACTATTATTATTATTATTATTAGGAAATGTCCGATGTGTAATCCAATACAACAGCCTGCAAAGTGTCTGCTGTGGACTCATCTTGTTGTGTTTCAAATAATAATAATAATAATAATAATAATAATAATAATAATGGCGTTTTTTTATTTTGGGTTACTGTAAGCTTTCCCATCTGTCTGGCCATGTTCCAGAAACATTCTCTCCTGACGTTTCACCCCCATCTCTGGCAGGCATCCTCAGAGGTTGTGAGGTCTGTTGGAAACTAGACAAATGTGGTTTATATATCTGTGGAACGATGTCCTGGGTGGGAGAAAGAACTATTGCCTATTGGAGGCCACCATTGAATGACCTTGCAGCTTCAAAGCCTGGCTGCTGGAATGTCCAGGGTGGGAGAAAGAAGCCTTATCTGTTGGAGGCAAGTGTGAATGCTGCATTTGGCCACCTTGATTGGTATTGAGTAGCCTTGCAGCTGCAAAGCCTGGCAGCTTCCTGCCTGGGGAAATCCTTCGTTGGGAGGTGTTAGTTGGCCCTGATTGTTTCCTGTCTGGAATTCCCCTGTTTTTTAAGTGTTGTTCTTTATTTACAGTCTTGATCCTAGAGTATTTTTAAACACTGGTATCCAAGTTGTGTTCATTTTCATGGTTTTCTTCTTTCTGTTGAGATTGTCCACGTGCTTCTTGTGGATTTCAGTGTCTTCTCTGTGTAGTCTGACATGGTGGTTGTGAGAGTGGTCCAGCGTTTCTGCATCCTCAAATAATCTGCGGTGCCTATATTATTGTTCTATATTATCATTTTCCTTTGCTCTCGTAGCATATATTATTGAAAGTCCACCCAATCCATTACTTGAAGGAACCCCCAGCGGTGCAGTGGGTTAAACTGCTGAGCTGCTGAACTTGCTGACCAAAAGGTAGCAAGTTCAAATCCAGGGAGCGGAGCGAGGGCCCACTGTTAGCCCCAGTTTCTACCAACCTAGCAGTTGGAAAACATGCAAATGTGACTAGATCAGTAAGTACCACCTTGGGAGTGGGGTGAGTCTCGGCTGTTAGCCCCAGCTTCTGCCAACCTAGCAGTCGGCGTTGTCCGTAGAGCTCACCTCACTCCCAAGGTCGGAAAATATGTGAATGTGAGTAGAATAATAGGTATCATTTTGGGAGTGAGGTGAGCTCCTGCTGTTAGCCCCAGCTTCTGCCAACCTAATAGTTCAAAAACATGCAAATGTGAGTAGAATAATAGGTATCACTTTGGGAGTGGGGTGAGTGCCTGCCGTTAGCCCCAGCTTCTAGCAACCTAGCAGTTCGAAAACATGCAAATATGAGTAGAATAATAGGTATCACATTGGGAGTGGGGTGAGCTCCTGCTGTTAGCCCCAGCTTATTTATTTATTTATAAGTTTTGTATACCGGCCTTCTCACCTCTCTTGAGGGACTCAGACCGGTTTCCAACCATAATATCACATACAATCAATAAAACATCATAATACATATTACAGTTAAACATTAAAACAGCAATTTCTGCCAACCTAACAGTTTGAAAACATGGCTTTTAGAAAAACATTAAAATCATGGTTTTGGGACCAGGCCTTCGGGCAGTAGAAGTAAATGTATGCAGCATTTCGGAAAGACAATGTCTGGAACGGCGACTCGACGGACGAGACTGTTTTATTGTTTTAATGATTGTTTTATTGCTTGTGGATGCACTGTTTTTAACTTGATTTATGTCTAATTGTAGTGTATAATTATAATTGTTTGTGCTGGCATTGAATTTTTGCCATTACTTGTGTGTAAATCGCTTTGAGTCTCCCTCGGGGCGAGAAAAACGGTATACAAATAGTGTAAATAAATAAATAAATCAATAAAATGGTATTTGGGGCGCTCTCCCCCTCTTGCAGGGACCGGCTCTGGCCTTTCTGCTCGGGGCCTGACCCTGTCCCTTCTGTTGTTGTTGCAGCCGCTGTCGCTTATTCGAGGCCCCGCCTGGCCACCTTCTGGTACTACGCCAGGGTCGAGCTGGTTCCCCCGACTCCGGCCGAGATCCCACAGGCCATCGAGAGCATGAAGGGGCTGGTGAAGAGCTTCCAGTCCGGCCGCCTGGCACAGCTCACCGTCAAGGTAAGCCCCATCCCAGCTGGAAGACGCTCCCCGGGAGAGATCCGTTCCGGAAACATTGCCAGGCAGAAAGGAGAACAAACAGCTTCCCCAGCCAAACATTTCGCTTCTTTAGGTGCTTCCCTCCCAGAGACATGCCTTCATCCAGGCTTCTTGCCCCTCTGTTCTGGACCAGAGATGATGCTTGCAGACATCATTCGTGGAATAATCTTTCTTTTGTGAATGTCTTACAGTTTGATGGCTGCATTTTTTTAAATTTGTAAAATATATCCATATAAATCCGCCTACCTGCGTGACCGCATTTCCATGTATAAACCCACACGATCTCTTTGTTCATCTGGAGAGGCCCTGCTCTCGCTCCCACCTCCCTCACAGGCGCGATTGGTGGGGATGAGGGAGAGGGCCTTCTTGGTGGTGGCCCCCCGACTCTGGAACTCCCTTCCCAGAGATATCAGACATGCCCCAATATTGGCAGTCTTTATGAGGAGCCTGAAAATGTGGCTATTCCAGTGTGCCTTCTCTTTGTTCATCTGGAGAGGCCCTGTTCTCGCTCCCAGCTCCCTCGCAGGCGCGATTGGAGAGAGCCTTCTCGGTGGTGGCCCCCCTGGCTCTGGAACTCACTTCCCAGAGATATCAGGGATGCCCCAACATTGGCAGTCTTTAGGAGGAGCCTGAAACCGTTGCTATTCCAGTGTGCCTTCTCTTCGTTCATCTGGAGAGGCCCTGCTCTCACTCCCGCCTCCCTCGCAGGCGCGATTGGTGGGGACGAGGGAGAGGGCCTTCTCGGTGGTGGCCCTCACAACTCTGGAATTCACTTCCCAGAGATATTAGGCATGCCCCAACATTGGCAGTCTTTAGGAGGAGCCTGAAAACGTGGCTGTTCCAGTGTGCCTTCCCAGAATAAGGAAATAATACCCAGCAAAATGTCTTCAGATTGCACTTTAACTACTCGTTGGATTGCGCTCCCTCACTTCTTTTAAAACCCTCCTACCAGATATACCTTACCTTGTTCATGCCCAGCATTTATTTTAAATTTTAAATTATTACATTTGGCCTGGCCATGGGTTTTTAAATCTTGTGTGTTAATGTTTATATGTGACTTATATTATTTGTATGGTTTTTGTTTACTGCTTTCTTGTTTAATAATAATAATAATAATAATAATAATAATAATAATAATCTTTATTTGTACCCCGCTACCTTCTCATCAAGGGACTCAGTGCGGCTTACATGAGGCCGAGCCTACAACACATCAATAAACAAAAGCGATAACAAATAATCAATACAAAACAGTTAAAATGAAACTCAAATACAAAAAATACACAATAACAATAACACACAGCATTTAAAAACCTATGGCCGGGCCAAATGTAATAATTAAAATTTAAAATGCTGGGCATGAACAAGATAGGGTAAACTAGGATAGGGTTTTTAAAGAAAGATGAGGGCACACAGACAATCCTAAATCAATATTGAAGTGCGTTTGAGGACATATTGCTAAGAGTTTTCCTTATTCTGGGAAGGCGCACTGGAACATTGATGGGTTTATTCTAAATTAATATTATATTGATTTATTCTAAATAATTCTAATTAATTATTATATTGATTTATTCTAAATAATTCTAATTAATTATTATATTAATTTATACTAAATTAATTTGGAAGTCGCATCTAACACCAAGAAGGCTAAGAATTATGAATAGGAACAATAATGAAAAATGTTGGAGAGGGTGCCAGGAAACTGGAACCTCTAGGCATATGTGGTGGGATTGTAAACATGTACAAGGTTTTTGGGAAATGGTTATAAGTGAAGTAGAAAATATTATAAATATAAAAATTAGAAGGAATCCAGTAGAAATATTGCTATTAATTAAAAGAGATTATGGGAAAGACAAAAGGGGGGGAAATTAATCTGTATTAATTTAATTATTATTAAATTAATGTAATTAACAGCAGCTAGACCAGTGTTTCTCAACCTTCCTAATGCCACGACCCCTTAATATGCTTCTTCATGTTATGGTGACCCCCAACCATGAAATTAGTTTCATTGCTACTTCCTGTCATTTTACTGCTGTTATGAATAATAATGTAAATATCTGATATGCAGGATGTGTTTTCATACACTGGACCAAATTTGGCACAAAAACCCAATACACCCGAATTTGAATACTGGTGGGATTGGGGGAGGGTATTGATTTTGCCCCGTGACAGTTGTAGTTGCTGGGATTTATAGTTCACCTACAATCAAAGAGCATTCTGAACTCCACCAACGATGGAATTGAATCAAACTTGGCACACAGAACTCCCATGAGCAAAAGAAAATACTGGGAGGGTGTGGTGGGCATTGACCTTGAGTCTTGGAGTTGTAGTGAGTATTCGTGCCGAGTTTGGTCCAGATCCATCATTGTTTGAGTCCACAGTGCTCTCTGGATGTAGGTGAACTACAAATCCAAAAACAAAGGACACTGCCCACCAAACCCTTCCAGTATTTACTGTTAGTCATGGGAGAACTGTTTGCCAAGTTTGGTTCAATTCCATCGTTGGTGGGGTTCAGAAACCTCTTTGACTGTAGGTGAACTATAAATCCCAGCAACTACAACTCCCAAATGTCAAGATTCTATTTTCCCCAAACTCCACCAGTGTTCACATTTGGGCATATTGAGTATTTGTGTAGAGTTTGGTCCAGATCCATCATTGTTTGAGTCCACAATGATCTCTGGATGTAGGTGAACTACAACTCCAGAACCAAAGGACACTGCCCACCAAACCCAGTATTTACTGTTAGTCATGGGAAAACTGTTTGCCAAGTTTGGTTCAATTCCATCGTTGGTGGGGTTCGGAAGGTTCTTTGACTGTAGGTGAACTATAAATCCTAGCAACTACAACTCCCAAATGACAAAAGCAACTTTTTTTGAGTGAAGGACACACATTGGGTTGTTAGGTGTCTTCTGTCCAAATTTGGTGTCAATTCATCCGGTGGTTTTTGAGTTCTGTTAATCCCACAAACGAACATATAGATTAGGTTCTTGTGGGTTTTTTCGGGCTGTATGGCCATGTTCTAGAGGCATTCTCTCCTGACGTTTTGCCTGCATCTATGGCAAGCATCCTCAGAGGTAGTGAGGTCTGTTGGAATTAGGAATATGGGTTTATATATCTGTGGAATGACCCGGGTGGGGCAAAGAGCTCTTCTCTGCTGGAGCTAGGTGTGAATGTTTCAACTGACCACCTTCATTAGCATTTGAAGGCCTGGCTGAGCCTGGGAAAATCTTTTGTTGAGAGGTGTTAAGATGTGCCTGGTTGTTTCCTCTCTGTTGTTTTGCTGTTGTAGTTTTAGAGTTTTTTTAATACTGGTAGCTCTAAAATTACAACAGCAAAACAGCAGAGAGGAAACAACCAGGCACATCTTAACACCTCTCAACAAAAGATTTTCCCAGGCTCAGCCAGGCCTTCAAATGCTAATGAAGGTGGTCAGTTGAAACATTCACACCTAGCTCCAGCAGAGAAGAGCCCTTTGCCCCACCCCAGCCATTCCACAGATATATAAACCCATTGTCCTAATTCCAACAGACCTCACTACCTCTGAGGATGCTTGCCATAGATGCAGGCGAAACGTCAGGAGAGAATGCCTCTAGAACATGGCCCTATAGCCCGAAAAAACTCACAAGAACATAGTGATTCCAGGCTTGAAAGCCTTTGACAATACATTGAACATATAGATTATAGATATAATACATTCATATAATACAATACATTCATAATATTAGTATTATACAATCAGTGTTGCCTGGCAAAACGAATTTGTCATAACAACACTTGCCTGGCTTCCCACCACAGTCCCTTTGGGACGATGGCCTTTCAGTTTGGGGCTTCCCGTAGTAGCGAAGACAGTCATTATTTCTCTTTTTTTTCCCCCTCCATTCCTTTTAGGAAGCCCTCAGGAACGGCTTGGTGGCGACGGAAGTCCTGATGTGGTTCTACATTGGCGAAATCATCGGCAAGCGCGGACTGGTTGGATACGATGTCTGAAAGGGATGTTTCTTTTGTCGTTGGAGTCCTAATAATATTAAATACTATATTGAGACGGAAATGTGGTGGGTCTCTGTTCGTTGTGCTTTTCATAGGCCACCTTCGACTTAGAGTTCCTTATTGAACCATCCACCTAATGCAGGTATGAGCAAATTTTGGGCTTCCAGGTGTTTTGGACTCCAACTCCCATCATTCCTAACGGCCTCGGGCCCCTCCTTTTGCCCCTCAGCCGCTTAAGCGGCTGAGGGGCAAAAGGAAAGGGCCCGAGGCCGTTAGGAATGATGGGAGTTGGAGTCCAAAACACCTGGAAGCCCAAAATTTGCCCAGGCTTGACCTAATAGTATGTAAACAAAAAAATATGTCATGTTCCTGGCTCAAAAGTGTTATTTCCTGTTTAATTGTTCAGTCCTCACTTTGAAAATAGTTGTTTCCCTTTGGAAATTATATTTGTTGTGGCTGCCAGAAAAAGAATTTGAATTGGGTGACACTGGAGGAGATGCTCATTGAAAAAAACTAAAGGGATGGCCCCGGACCCTGAATCCGCTCCCTGGTTATGCCTGCCTCCTGCTGGAGCCGCTCGGGATATACTGGTGCAGGGGTGCCTCCGCGGTGCTGGCCCCGGGCACTGAATATCTTTCCTGTTTATGCCTGCCTCCTATTGAGGTTTCTCGGCGTATGCGATTGCCGGGGTTTCTCCGGAACCTGAATACACTCCCTGGATATATTTGACTTTAATCGGTACAGCTTAGCACATGCATGTTCTGGGGCGCCTCCGTGGCTATGGCCCCGAGCACTGAATATCTTTCCTGGTTATGCCTGCCTCCTATTGGCGTTGCGTAGCGTATGCGAGTGCCGGGGTTTCTCCTGATCCTGAATACACTCCCTTATTATGCTTGCCTCCTATCGGCGCAGCTAAAGAAATGCTTGTGCTGGGGCTCCTCCGCGCTGGCCCCGGACCCTGAATTTGCCTCAAAGTTATGCTTGCTTTCTGCCGGCTCCGCTTGTCATATACCGATGCCGGGTATCCCCGGACCCTGAATCCGCTCCCTGGTTATGCCTGTCTCCTATCGAGGTTGGTCTGTGTATGCGCGTTCCAGGGTTCCTCCGCGGCACTCGCCCCGGACCCTGAATCTGCTCCCTAGTTATGCTTATCTCCTGCCGGCTCAGCTTGTCATAACCCGATGCCGGGGTGCCTCCGCGGCGGTAACCCCGGAGTCTGAATCCGCTCCTTGGTTATGCCTGTCTCCTATTGGAGTTGCTCGGCTTATGCGCGTGTCGGGGTTTCTCCGCGGCGCTGGCCCCGAGCACTGAATAACTTTCCTAGTTATGCCTGCCTCCTATTCAAGTTTCTCGGCGTATGCTAGTGCCGGGGTTTTTCCGGAACCTGAATACACTCCCTCATTATGCTTGCCTTCTATCGGCGCAGCTCTAGACATGCATGCGCTGTCTACGCGGCGCTGGCCCCGGACACTGTATACCTTTCCTGGTTATGCCTGCCTCCTATTGGCGTTGTTCAGCGTATGCGAGTGTTGGGGTACCCCCGGAACCTGAATACAGTCCCTGGATATATTTGACTTTAATCGGTACAGCTTAGCAATGCATGTTCCGGGGCGCCTCCGCGGCGCTGGCCCCGGACTCTGAATTTGCCTCAAAGTTTGCCTCGTCTTATACCGATGAATTCTTATACCGTCTGAATTTGCCTCGTCTTATACCGATGCCGGGGCTCCTCCGCGGCTGTAACACCGGACGCTGAATCCACTCCCTAGTTATGCCTGTCTCCTATCGGCGTTGCTCGGCGTATGCGCGTGCCGGGGTTTCTCCGCGGCACTCGCCCCGAGCACTGAATATCTTTCCTGGTTATGCCTGCCTCCTATTGGCGTTGTTCAGCGTATGCGAGTGCCGGGGTTTTTCCGGAACCTGAATACATTACCTCATTATACTTGCCTCCTATCGGCGCAGCTCTAGACATGCATGTGCCGGGGCGCCTCCGCGGCGCTGGCCCCGGACCCTGAATCCGCTCCCTAGTTATGCTTGTCTCCTGCGTGCTCTTTCGTAATATACCGATGCCGGGGCGCCTCCGCGGCGGTAACCCCGCACCTTGAATCCGCTGTTTAGTTATGCCTGTCTCCTATCGGCGTTGTTCGGCGTATGTGCGTGCCGGGGTTTCTCCGCGGAAACCCCGGATGCTGAATACACTCCGTGATTATGCTTTCCTCCAACTGCCTTCGTTTATGATATCCCGATTCCGGGGCGGCCCCGCGGCACAGTCCCGGGACCCTGAATCCGCTCCTTGGTTATGCCTGCTTGCTATGCTGAATACACTCCGTGATTATGCTTTCCTCTAACTGGCTCCGTTTATGATATCCCGATTCCGGGGCGGCCCCGCGGCAGTCCCGGGACCCTGAATGCGCTCCTTGGTTATGCCTGTCTCCTATCGGTGCTGTTCGAGGTATGCGCGTGCCGGGGTTTCTCCGCGGAAACCCCGGATGCTGAATACACTCCGTGATTATGCTTTCCTCCAACTGCCTTCGTTTATGATATCCCGATTCCGGGGCGGCCCCGCGGCACAGTCCCGGGACCCTGAATCCGCTCCTTGGTTATGCCTGCTTGCTATGCTGAATACACTTTGTGATTATGCTTTCCTCAAACTGGCTCCGTTTATGATATCCCGATTCCGGGGCGGCTGCGCGGCACAGTCCCGGGACCCTGATTGTGCCCCTTGGTTATGCCTGTTTCCTATTGGCGCGGCTGGGCGCATGCGGGTGCCGGGGCTCCTCCGCGGCTGTAACCCCGCACCCTGAATCCGCTCCCTAGTTATGCCTGTCTCCTATTGGCGCTGCTCGAGATATGCGCGTGCCGGGGTTCTCCGCGGCAGTCACCCCGTATCCTGAATACACTTTGTGATTATGCTTTCCTCCAACTGGCTCCGTTTATGATATCCTGATTCCGGGGCGGCTCCGCGGCACAGTCCCCGAACCCTGAATGCGCTCCTTGGTTATGCCTGCTTGCTATGCTGAATACACTCCGTGATTATGGTTTCCTCCAACTGGCTCCGTTTATGATATCCCGATTCCGGGGCGGCTCCGCGGCACAGTCCCGGGACCCTGAATGAACTCCTTGGTTATGCCTGTTTCCTATTGGCGCGGCTGGGCGCATGCGGGTGCCGGGGCGCCTCCGCGGCGTTAACCCCGGACACTGAATCCGCTTCCTAGTTATGCCTGTCTCCTATTGGCGCTGCTCGAGGTATGCGCGTGCCGGGGTTTCTCCGCGGCACTCACCCCGTATCCTGAATACACTCCGTGATTATGCTTTCCTCTAGCTGTCTCCGTTTATCACATCCTGATTCCGGGGCGGCTCCGCGGCACAGTCCCGGGACCCTGAATGAACTCCTTGGTTATGCCTGTTTCCTATTGGCGCGGCTGGGCGCATGCGGGTGCCGGGGCGCCTGCGCGGCGGTGGCGTGTGCCCCGGAACGTGGATAAGGTGGGCGGGAGTGCAGGGCGCGGAGGGCGTCGGCGTGGCGCAGGCAGGTTCCCGGGCGGGGCGGCTCGACACTCCCTCTCCGCTTGCCTCCCGCCCGCCCGCCCGCCTGGCAGCGAAGATGGCGCACAGCGGTCGGTGGCGCTTCCCGGCCCGGCCCGGCAGCGGGGGCGGCGGGAGGCGGGCGCTGGGCGGCGGGGGGCGGCTCCGGGTGGCTGCCTGGCGGGGGCCGCGCCCTCCCTCAGCGCCCTCGGCCTCCTCAGGAGCAGAAGGGGGCGGGCCCGCGCTGCCTCAGCCTCATCCCCATCCTCTCGGCCTGTCCTCCTCCTGCCTCCTCGCTCCCGGGTTCGACGCCGCGCTCCAAGTCTCCGCCGCCATCGGCATCAACCTGAGGCGCTTCCGGGCTGCCTGCGGAGGCGGGGGCCACGACGAAGAAGGCCCTGAGGTGAGAGGATGGGAATTGGGGGGGGAAAGGGGGGGAGAGGACGCGGGAGCGCGCACGCCTGCCTGCCTTGAGGGAGGGGGAAGGAGGGAGGGAAGCAGGGGGCGTGCCCGGCTCCTTCCTCCCTCGCGTGCCCGCGCCCGGCCTCCCTCGGCGGGAAAGGCGCCTCCGGAAGGGAGGGAGAGGGAGAGGGGGAGGGAGGGAGGGAGCAGCATCCCAGCCACGCCCCCCCCCCCCCCCCCCCCCCCTCTATCTGATAATGAGGATGATGGAGAAGGAAGGGAAAGGGAACACAGATGCAAAGGGGAGAAAGAAAACACATGCAAAAAGGAAGGGAGCAAAGACAGCAAGCAAGGGGCAGAGAAAAAAGAAGCAAAGGGAAAGGAGGAAAGAGAAAGCAAGGGGCACAGAAAACAGATGCAAAAGGGAGAAAGGAAGGGGCACAGAAAACAGATGCAAAAGGAAGGGAGCAAAGACAGCAAGCAAGGGGCAGAGAGAGAGATGAGCCCCCAGGCACGCCCCCCTCCCCCCCCCTCCCTCCCTCCCTTCTGATGGGGATGATGGAGAGGAAGGGAACACAGATGCACAAGGAAAGGAGCAACGAGCAGAGAACACAGAGGCAAAAGGAAGAGAGCAAAAACAGAGGAAACAGCAGGTAAAACATGCAGGAGAGGAAGCAAGGGGCACAGCAAATAAGGAGCAGAGAACACTGATGCAAAGGGGAGAAAGGAAGGGGCACAGAAAACACATGCAAAAAGGAAGGGAGCAAAGACAGCAAGCAAGGGGCAGAGAAAACACGCAGAGAGAAAAAGCAAGGTGCACAGCAAATACATGCAAAGGGAAGGGCCCAGGTTACAGCTGCAAAGGGAGAAAGCAAGGGGCAGAGGACACAGATGCAAAGGGGTGAAAGGAAGGGGCACAGAAAACACGTGTAAAAGGAAGGGAGCAAAGACAGACAGTAAGGTGCACAGCAAATACATGCCAAGGGAAGGGAGCAAAGAGAGAAAGGAAGGGGCACAGAAAACAGATGCAAAAGGAAGGGAAGAAAGACAGAAAGCGAGGGGGAAGATGGGGAGGAAGAGAGGAAAGAAGGGGAAAAGGAAGGGGCAGAGAACACAGGCAAAGAGAAAAAGCAAGATGCACAGCAAATACATGCAAAGGGAAGGGAGCAAAGAGAAAGCAAGGTGCATAGAAAACAGATACAAAAAGGAAAGGAGCAAAGACAGCAAGGGGCAGTGGAAACAAGCAAAGAGAAAAAACAAGGTGCACAGCAAATACATATAAAGGGAAGGGAGGAAAGAGAAAGCAAGGTGCACAGAAAACAGATGCAAAGGGGAGGAAGGAAGGAAGGGCACAGAAAACAGATGGAAAAGGAAGGGAGCAAAGACAGCAAGGGGCAGAGAAAACAGGCAAAGGACAGCAAGCAAGGGGCAGAGACAAAATAAGCAAAGGGAAGGGAGAAAGCAAGGGGCAGAGAAAACTCATGCAAAGTGGAGGAAGGAAGGGGCAAAGAAAAAAATCAGCAAGGGGCAGAGAACACAGGTGTGAAAAGCAGAGAGAGAGGGATCAGCCCCCAGGCACGGCCCCCTCCCTCTCTCTCTTTGATGATGAGGATGATGGAGAGGAGAGGGAAGGAAGAGGAAGGGAACACAGATGCAAAAAGGAAGGGAGCAAAGACAGCAAGGGGCAGAGAAAACAAGCAAAGAGAAAAAACAAGGTGCACAGCAAATACATGCAGAGGGAAGGGAGGAAAGACAGAAAGCAAGGTGCACAGAAAACAGGTGCAAAGGGGAGGAAGGAAAGGGCACAGAAAGCAGATGCAAAAGGAAGGGAGCAAGCAAGCAAGGGGCAGAGACAAAATAAGCAAAGGGAAGGGAGAAAGCAAGGGGCAGAGAAAACTCATGCAAAGTGGAGCAAACAAGGGGCAGAGAGAAAAAAGCAAAGGGAAGGGAGCAAAGACGGAAAGCAAGGGGCAGAGAACACAGGTGTGAAAAGCAGAGAAAAGGCAGAGAGAGAGACAGAGAGAGGGGGGATCAGCTCCCAGGCACGCCCCCCTCCCTCCCTCTCTGGTGATGGGGATGATGGAGAAGAGAGGGGAGAAGGAAGGGGAAGGGAACACAGATGCAAAGGGGTGAAAGGAAGGGGCACAGAAAACACATGCAAAAGGAAGGGAGAAGTGAGAGGAAGCAAGGGGCTCAGCAAATACATGCAAAGGGAAGGGAGGAAAAAGAAAGCAAGGGGCACAGAAAACATGCAAAGGGGAGGAAGGAAGGGGCACAGAAAGCAGATGCAAAAGGAAGGGAGCAAAGACAGAGAAAAGAGCAGAGAAAACATGCAGGAGAGGAAGCAAGGGGCACAGCAAATACATGCAAAGGGAAGGGAGCAAAGACAGAAAGCAAGGTGCACAGAAAACAGATGCAAAAGGAAGGGAGCAAAGACAGCAAGGGGCAGAGAACACAAATGTCTCGGGAGAAAGGTGATGGAGAGAGGAAGGGAGCAAGGGGCAGAGAACACAGATGCAAAGGGGAGAAAGGAAGGGGCACAGAAAACATGCAAAAGGAAGGGAGCAAAGACAGCAAGGGGCAGAGAACACAAGCAAAGAGAAAAAGCAAGGTGCACAGAAAACAGATGCAAAGGGGAGGAAGGAAAGAGAAAGCAAGGGGCACAGAAAACATACAGGAGAGAAATCAAGGGGCACAGCAAATACATGCAAGGGGAAGGGAGCAAAGACAGCAAGGGGCAGAGAAAACTCATGCAAAGGGGAGCAAGCAAGGGGCAGAGACAAAATAAGCAAAGGGAAGGGAGAAAGGAAGGGGCACAGAAAACATGCAAAAGGAAGGGAGCAAATACAGAGAAAAGAGCAGATAAAACATGCAGGAGAGGAAGCAAGGTGCACAACAAATACATGCAAAGGGAAGGGAGGAAAGAGAGAAAGCAAGGTGCACAGAAAACATGCAAAAGGAAGGGAGCAAAGACAGCAAGGGGCAGAGAACACAAGCAAAGAGAAAAAGCAAGGTGCACAGCAAATACATGCAGAGGGAAGGGAGGAAAGACAGAAAGCAAGGGGCACAGAAAGCAGATGCAAAAGGAAGGGAGCAAAGACAGCAAGGGGCAGAGAACACAAGCAAAGGAGAGCAAGCAAGGGGCAGAGACAAAATAAGCAAAGGGAAAGGAGGAAAGGGAGAAAGCAAGGGGCAGAGAAGACACATGCAAGGGAGGGGGGAGAGAGGGGGGATCAGCCCCCAGGCACGCCCCCCTCCCTCCCTCCCTCTCTGCTGATGGGGATGATGGAGAGGAGAGGAAAGAAGGGGAAAAAGGAAAGAGGGAAGAAAAGAAAAAAAGGAAGGGAAGAAGTGAGAGAAAGCAAGGTGCACAGCAAATACATGCAAAGGGAAGGGAGCAATGACAGAAAGCAAGGGGCAGAGAAAACATGCGAAATGGAGAAAGCAAGGTGCACGGCCAATACATGCAAAGGGAAGGATTAGGGTTACAGCTGCAAAGGGAGAAAGCAAGGAGCAGAGAAAATATGCAAAGGGGAGCAAGCAAGAGGCAGAGAAAAAACAAGCAAAGACAAAGCAATGAGCAGAGAAAACAGACGCAAAGGGAAGGCAGCAAAGAGAGAGCAAGGTGCGGAGGAAGCTTGTAAAGGGGAGAAAGAAAGGTGCATAGAAAAAATAAGCAAAAGGAAGAGAGCAATGACAGAAAATAAGGTGCATAGAAGACACATGCAAAGGGGAGAAAGCTACGTGCAAAGAAAACACATGCAAAGGAAAGGGAGCAATGAGAGAAATCAAGGTGCACAGAAAAAATACAAAGGGGAGAAAGGAAGGTGCACAGAAAACATGCAAAAGTAAGGGAGCAAAGAAAGAAAATGCAGAGAAAACATGCAAAGGAAGGGAGCAAAGACAAAAAGCAAGGATGCAGAGAAGGCACATACAAAGGGGAGAAAGCAAGGTGCAGAGATAACATGCAAAGAGCAGAGAAAACATGCAAAGAGAAAAAGCATGGTGCACAGAAAACATACAGAAGAGAAAGCAAGGTGCACAGAAACAGATGCAAAAGGAAGGGAGGAAAGATAGCAAGGTGCAGAGAAAATATGCAAAGGGGAGCAAGCAAGGGGCAGAGAAAAAAGAAGCAAAGGGAAGGGAGGAAAGGGAGACAGCAAGGGGCAGACAACACAGATGCAAAAAGGAGAAAGAAGGGTGCACAGAAAATAGATGCAAAAGGAAGGGAAGAAAGGGCGAAAGCAAGGGGCAGACAACACAGATGCAAAGAGAAAAAGCAAGGTGCACTGAAAATACAGGAGAGAAAGCAAAGTGCAGAGAAAACAGATGCAAAAGGAAAGAAGCAAAGAGAAAAAAGCAAGGTGCACAGAACATATGCAAAGAGCACAGAAAACATGGAAAGAGAAAAAGTAAGGTGCACAGAAAACATACAGGGGAGAAAGCAAGGTGCACAGCAAATACATGCAAGGGGAAGGGCCAGGGTTACAGCTGCAAGGGGAGAATGCAAGGGGCAGAGAAAACATGCAAAGGGGAGCAAGCAAGAGGCAGAGAAAAAATAAGCAAAGACAGAAAGCAAGCGGCAGAGAAAACATATACAAAGGGGAGAAAGGAATGAGCACAGAAAACAGATGCAAAAGGAAGGGAACAAAGACAGAAAGCAAGGGGCAGAGAACACAGGTGCAAAGAGAAAAAACAAGGTACACTGAAAACAGGAGAGAAAGTAAAGTGCAGAGAAAACAGATGCAAAAGGAAGGGAGCAAAGAGAAAAAGCAAGGTGCACAGAAAACACACAGGACAGAAAGCAAGGTGCACAGCAAATACATGCAAAGGGAAGGGAGCAACACAAATGCAAGGTGCACAGAAAAACGCAAAGAGAAAGCAAGGTGTGGAGAAAACATACAAGGCAGAAAGCAAAGTGCAGAGAAAACACATGCAAAGGGAAAGGAGCAAAGAAAAAGCAAGGTGCACAGAAAATACATACAAATGGGAGAAAGGAAGGTGCACAGAAAACATGCAGAAGGAAGGGAGCAAAGAGAAAACAAAGTGCAGAGAAAACATGCAAAGGAAGGGAGCAAAGACAAAAAGCAAGGGGCACAGAAAACACATGGAAAGGAAAGAGCAATGGCAGAAAACAAGGTGCACAGAAAACATACAAAGGGGAGAAAGGAAGGTGCACAGAAAACATGCAGAAGGAAGGGAGCAAAGAGTAAACAAAGTGCAGGGAACACATGCAAAGGAAAGGGAGCAATGACAAAAAACAAGGTGCACAGAAGACATACAAAGGGGAGAAAGAAAGGTGCAGAGAAAACATGCAAAAGGAAGGGAGCAAAGAAAGTGCAGAGAAAACATGCAAATGAAGGGAGCAAAGACAAAAAGCAAGGGGCACAGAAAACACATACAAAGGGGAGAAAGCAAGATGCAGAGAAAACACATGCAAAAGGAAGGGAGCAAAGACAGAAAGCAAGGTGCAGAGAAAACTCATTCAAAGAGCAAAGAAAACATGCAAAGAGAAAAGGCAAGGTTTAGAGAAAACATGCAAAGGGGAGAGAGCAAGGTGCAGAGAACACATGCAAAGAGCAATGACAGAAAGCAAGGTGCACAGAAAAGACATGCAAAGGGAAGGGAGTAAAGAGCAAGCAAGATGCACAAAAACTCTTGCAAAGGAGCTCCAGAGAAGGAGACTCCACTGGACTCCGAGGCAGTCTATATTCAATGAGAATTGGCCATCCAGCCAACCCCCATTCTGCCAAGCAGGAAGACACTGCCCAAGCCCTCTTGGCAGATGCCTTTTAGCCAGAAAATGAAATGCTGAGATCCAGGATGGGTGACGCCTGGCTCGACAACGGTCCATGTGAGAAAGATCTTGGGAGTCTTGGTGGAGAACAAGTTGAGCATGAGCCAAGAGTGTAGTGCAGCATCGCAGAAAGCCAATTCTCATTGAATATAGACTGCCTGGGATCCCAGTGGGGCCTCCCTCTCTGGAGCTCCCAACAGTGATCCTGGATTTGTCCCTGAGCCTGGAACCCCAGGTCTCAGTGGTGGTCAAAGGAGCTTTTGTATAATTTAAACTTGTGTGCCAGTTGCGCCCATACCTTGAGAAGACAGACTTGGCCATGGTGGTCTATGCTCTTGTTACCTCCCATATAGACTACTCAAACGTTTTCTACGTAGGGCTGTCTGTGAAGACCGCCTGGAAGCTCCAGTCAGTCCAGTGGGCAGCAGCCAGATACCTCACTGGGGCAGCATTTAGGGATCATACTACTCTGTTACGCCAGCTTCACTGACTGTCAGTTTGCTACCAAGACCAATTCAAAGTGCTGACCTTGGCCTATAAAGCCCTAAATGGTTCTGGTCCAACTTACCTGTCCGAATGCATCTCCTCCTATGAGCCAACAAGAGCTTTAAGATCTGCTGGGGAGGCCCTGCTCTCAGTCCCACCACCATCACAGGTGCAATTGGTGGGGATGACAGACAGGGCCTTCTCAGTGGTGCCCCCCCCATCACTGTGGAACTCTTCCCAGTGACATCAGGCAGGGCCCCTTCTCTTCTGGTTTTCGGGGGGGGGGGGGATTAAAGACCTGGCTTTGCACATGAGTGTTTGAAGGATAAGTTATTATGGATTTTGACATAAGCTGCATAACGATTATGAGCAAGGATTATGGATAAATGATATAATGTACTTCATATCTTTTTAATTGGTTGTTATTCTATGTGTTTTATTTGATTAACTGTTCAAATTGTTGAATTGATGGGATCTGTTTTATGGTTATGTTTTAAATGGCTTTGAATCTTGCCAGAGTTGTTAAGTTGCCTTGAGTCCCTTCAAGGGTGAAAAAAGCAGGGTATAAATGAAGCAAATACATACATAAATAAAGGGGAGAAAGCAGGGTGCAGAGAAAACACATGCAAAAGAAAGGGAGCAAAGAGAGAAAGCAAGGTGCAGAGAAAATATACAAAGGGGAGAACACAAGGTGCACAAAAAAGACATGCAAAGGGGAGAAAGGAAGATGCAAAAGGAAAGCAGCAAGAAAAAACAAGGTGCACAGAAAAGACATGCAAAGGGTAGAAAAGGTGCAGAGAAAATGCATGCAAAGGGAAGGGAGCAAAGAGAAAAAGCAAGGTGCACAGAAAAGCCACGCAAAAGGGAGAAAACAAGGTGTACAGAAAAGGTATGGAAAGGGGAGAAAGTAAGGTGCAGAAAAACATGCAAAGGGAAGGGAACAAAGATAAAAAGCAAAGTGTGAAGAAAACAAATGCAAAGGGAAGAACACAAGAAAAAAAGGTGCACGAAAAAAAGACATGCAAATAGGAAGGGGGCAACGAGACATCTAGGTGCAAAGAAAACACCCAAAGGGAAGAGGGCAAGGTGTGGAGAAAACACATGCAAAGGGGAGAAAGCAAGGTGCAGAGAAAACATGCAAACGGGAAGGCAGCAACGACAGAAAACAAGGTGCACAGAAAACACATGCAAACGGGAAGGCAGCAAAGACAGAAAGCAAAGTGCAGAGAAAACAGACACAAAGAGAAGGGAGCAAAGAGAGTAGGAAGCTGTCAGAAGAGCCCTCCCCTCTCCCTCTCCATGGTCCTGGCCTGAAGGGGGCCCACAGATGCCCTCCGCTCTCTGCATAGAGCAGGCCTGGGCCAACTTTGGCCCTCCCCTCCAGGTGTTTTGGACTGTGACTCCCACTAGGCTGTTAGGAATTGTGGTAGTTGAAGTCCAAAACACCTGCTTTTTTTGGACATCTCATTGAAAGCTTTTAAACAGAGCCTGGATTGCCATCTGTTGGGGGTGCTTTGATTGTGCTTTCCCTCCCTGGCAGAATAGGATTTAACTGGATGACTCATGTGGTCTCATCCAACTCTGATTCTGTGGGGAGGAAGCTGTCAGAAAGGTCTTCCCCCCTCTCCATGGTCCTGGCCTGGCAGGGGAGCACTGATGCCCCCCCCCCCCCCCAAACGCTCTGGACACTTCAGTCAAGGGATCAGTCAAGAGATCGTCCAAACGTCACCTCTTTTACAGTATTTATATACCTCTCCCATAGGGCTTATGCTATATGTGCTTTTAGTTATCATCTGTATTTTATCATTATATTGTGTTATGTTTTAATGTGTATTTGCTTCTGTTTTTATCATTGTATACGACATCACCTTTTGTATGTGTTAACCACCCTGAGTCCCTCCAAGGAGAAAGGGCTAGTTAGAAATAAAATATTATTGTTATTATTATTATTTGTAGGGAGGCCAGCTGTTTCAAAGGGCAGAGGTGGTGGTTGTTGCTGTGGTGGTGGTGGTTGTTGTTGTGGTGGTGGTGGTTGTTGTTGTTAATGTTAATCCTGCTGGAGGAAGCCAGAGAGCTGCTTCCTGCTGCATCTCCTGCTTCCTGGAACTGTGAGAGGATAAGATATGGGTTGCTATCCCCCCCTCACCTGGATGCAGCAGTACTAATAATAGCAATAATAAACAGCGGTGTTTCTGGTTTATCCTCCTGGAATCCCAGCTCAGCCTTGGGGTGCAGTGGCACCATGGACTCATCCATTTGCATCCTAATGAACTCACATCCTTGCAGAACACTTGGCTGCTGCCATAGTTGCAACCACGCTGAGATCAATGGACTGCCTTTCACTTGTTTATCTTTCGCTTCTTGGCATTATTTATTTATTTATTTACAACATTTATATGCTGCCCTTCTCACCCCGAAGGGGTCTCAAAGCAGCTTACAAGATATATATATATATATATATATACATACATTATATTATATTATTAGCATAGTACAATAGTATTATATTACTATATTGTACTATACCATTATAATTTAATATTAGTAATATTGCATGTAATATAAGATATATAATTATAATATTATATTGTTAGTACTAGCATTATATTTTATTACATTATAATATTATAAATATTATACATATATACAATATATTATATTATATTATTAGCATAGCACAGGAGACATTTGGCTCCATAATAATAATAATAATAATAATAATAATAACAACAACAACAACAACACTTTATTTGTACCCTGCTACCATCTCCCCAAAGGACTCGTTGCGGCTTACATGAGGCCGAGCCCAAATACAACAATACAAGCAATACTAACAACAATACAATAATAACAACAATACAAGCAATTAAAATAAAAACATGGATAATAACATAATGCAACATTAACAATAAGACAACACATAATTAAAACAAGACGCTGGGGGGGGGGGCAGGGAGAAGTCTGTTTTGCACTCATGCTGCCCTGCACCATCCAAACAGCAATTATTCAATAATAATAATAATAATAATAATAATAATTATTATTATTATTAGAGGCCATTCAGTCAGGAGGCATCATTGGGGCCTGGGTTTTATTATCCCCAAGTCGGGGAGAAGGAGCTTTTGAGGAAGGGGCTCTTGCTGCCGTCCCTCTTCCAGGGGGTTGTTTCTGTGAAAGCCTTGTTCCAATAGCTGTCCTTCTAGAGGAGGGCTGCTTGTATCAAAGTGGGGCAGAACTCGGCACTTGTATACCACACTGTGTATTATTATTATTGTTATTGTTAAATAAATAAATACACAGGAAACGTCTTCTGTTTCTAGAGAATCAGAATGGGACATTGTTTGGGGCTCAATGTTGTCAGCACAATGCTTTGCATGATGCAGAACCCTGCTCTGGGAGGAGGAGGGGGCTCCATGCAAATGCTTCTGTGGTTTAGTTGCAAGTCTTCCTTCAGGGCAGTGATGCCAGGGCAGCACCGCAGACCTGATAAGTCAACCTCTGTGCATCTCATGATCGCCATATTAATGTCTTCTAGTGCAGCCATTTTTAAATGGAAATTGTGCTTGGAAGGCGAGCTTCTGTCTATTCCTTTTTGTTACCCATTTCAATATTTTGGCAATCATTTTTGAGGGATAACTTCATGCTTTTGTTGCCGTTTACCCTGAATGAGGGGCGGCCCTGTCTCTTTTTGGTTTGGACTGATGGGGGACTGCTGTTTGCCCACCGGGGGATCTCCACTTAGGCTGGTCTCTGGACTCCCGGCAGCCCTCTGTCCCCATGGATGTCACCATAACTTACCTTGTGTTCTGCGGCCTAAGCCTTGCAAACAGGTTTCCGCATCCTCTGGCCTTGTGTTGAAGCTGCCCTCCCAGTTGGGGACCCCTGGTGCTGGCGTCCCTCCTTCTGAGGCCTTTGGGGTGAAGGCTTTCCTGTTGGTTGCAGCCTGGTTGTCGAGGGGCATAGCAGAGGGGTCTGCTTGGTGCCCACTTGGCCATGCCAGAGCCAGACGGTTTTGCTCTCTCTGGACACTTCAGGACAGACGATAGCATATTCCTTTGTTGCATCTGTTCTTCCTTTCTGACGTTCAGTCCGTTTGTTGTGTCACCTGCAATAATAATGCCTTATTGATTCAGTTTTGTTTTGTTTCCTGTTCATCTACATTTCAAACTGCAATACCAGTGGCTTCTTTTGGGTGAACGTTTGTCAGGTGGGGTGTAGAAATGCCTTTGGAGGAAGTAATGGATCTGAAAGTGGGGGTCCTTTGGAGTTGTGCTCTACAGGGAGGCTCTGC